AAGCCATGTACTGATGCAAATCAGGACTCAGTGGCTCTTCCTGTCTATGCAACACTTGGATTCAGAAAGACACAGCTGACAGCTCTTGGACAATAAACAGAGCCCAGGAAAAAAACCAAAACAGCAGCCTGACTATCTTAAAACGCGAACAGTCAAGGGCAAGCTAGTAACTTTTCAACCAAGTGCTCATCCTGAAAGGTTCCAAAGTTGTTATATTTGCAGCTGTGACTCGTACGTGTCATGCGAATGGGCCATGGGAGCCCCATGCGAAGGATTGGTTCACAACCCTTTAATGCCATCTGTTATGGGGTCTGTTTGGGGTGAAAATGTTTTCCATCCCACTGGAAACCCTAAGATCAAGCCAAACCTAAGAAACAGAATTACTGAAAGCAAAATATTGCTTGCAGTATGTCTTGCTGTATGCCTTATGCCACTAAAATACTCTTATTTTTTATTTGTTCTTTATACTTTTCTAGGTGAATAAAGTGAAAGAAGAAAAGGCTGTTTTGACAACAGAAGTTAATAAGCAGCAAAAACTGTTGGAGAAATGTAACAGAGGTGTGTGGTCTCAGCAGGTTCTCTAACAGTTTTCTACATCCTTTGCAGAAGCTTCAGAGCTTTTATGTTGTTGTGCAAAGAACAGGTTACAGAACAGTGACCTTGGTCCAGATCTGACACTTGGCCTCATTGCCGCAGGCACTGCATAAACACATGGGCTATTCTAGACTATCTCTACTCCAGGAAAATGTGACAGTGTTAAATAGCAGGTTGAATGTGAGAATAGGAAAACTTTTTGCTCTGTGGCACAAGTGGCAAACTAGGGCAGGAAGGCAGTCCTTCCCAGAGATGGAGTTTGAACCTTAATCTGCTGTTTTCCAAAATCACTACCTCAGCCTTCCTTTTAGTTGGGACACAGCTAATAATTTTGAATATCTGAAGACTTAGGAGCAACTTGTTTTATGTTCAGAGGGTAATGAGGAAAAGGCAAGAGTGCTGGGAATGAGGTAAAGGGGATTTCCAAGTTATGGAAGGAAAGCAGGGACTTTCCATTACTGGAAAGAGATGAGAGGTAAAACGAGGGCAGGGAAGTCTAGAAAGAGATACGGCTCAGAAAAGGAAAGCTTTTGCTTGATGGAGGCGAGTGCTTCCACATGAGAAATAGTTGACCCAAAAGAAGTTTAGAGGGAAGGGGAAAGATTTTAGTGCCTTGGATTACTGTGCCCTTTTCACTTGTTGCTTATTTAGCCTTGTAAAATTAAAAATTGTTTGATTAAAAGTCTCATTGGCTGTTTCACATTTTCCTGAAGTGGAAGATAACGGGCCTGGCCAAGATATAGTAGGGCATATCCTGTAAGCTTCCACCAAGTGTTCATCTCTTACCTCTTCCATGTGTCTGCATTGCTTAAGCCTATGACAGGCAGTACTTGAAGACTCTTAAAAAACCAAACTTCAGATAAGTTGATTAGACAGATCAGCTGGAAGAAGCTTTTGATGGGATAGTGTGGCAGGTGAAAAGTTTCTGAAATGTTTTCTTTTTTCTAAGCATGATCAAAAGAACAACCCCTTGTTTCACATTTGCCTGTTTTCCAGGAAGGAAGACTTATACCAGGCTAGGTCCTAATGCACATAAAGCAAGATTATTTTTTTCTGTATGCTTGAAATGAGCTACAAAAGTATCTATTCAGTACCTATTATATTCTGTGTCTATGTGGCACTGTCTTTCACTGAAATGTGTTGATTACACAGTTGTTGAATTTGTCTTAAATCTTTCTAAATGTGTGGGTTGTTTGTTGAGTTTTTTGTGGGTTTTTTGTGGTTTTTTCGGTTTTTTTTAAGTTAACATTGAGAGTCAGGTGGGCTGGGATGTGTATCCCACTGTCTAAAGTACCACTTAGTGTATGTAGCTTTAAAAACTGTTAACGCTTGTCTCCAAAAAGGCAAGGAACTCCAGTGTCATCACCCTGCAAACTATCTTCAGCCAGTAAAGCTTATCAAGAGAATGCAAGTGGTCACTGAGATATGTTAAGAATAAATGATACTTGAGTACTTACAAGTGATGCATGCTGTCCTGGATTGAGGCCTGTTCATCATGGTTTGGGGAGGCATGCCCCATGGTTCGCTTTAGCCACCCATATGAGCCTCGCTTTTGTGAGCACAGTTTAAATACAGGCAACACAAAATTGCACTTCTTTCTTCTTGAGGCTCCTTTAAATCTCTGCTGTAACCACTGTCGTGGTTTAACCCCAGCCAGCAACTAAACACCACATAGCTGCTCGCTCACTCCCCCGCCTCTGGGGATGAAGGAGAGAATCGGGAGAGTAAGTGAGAAAACTCGTGGGTTGAGATAAAGACAGTTTAATAATTGAAATAAAATAAAGTAAAATAGTAGTAATAATAATAGAATATACAAAGCAAGTGATGCACGATGCAGTGGCTCACCACCTGCCGACCGATGCCCAGCCAGTCCCTGAGCAGCGAACCCTGCCCCCTGGCCGACTCCTCCCAGTTTATATACTGAGCATGATGTCATATGGTATGGAATACCCCATTGGCCAGTTGGGTCAGCTGTCCTGGCTGTGCTCCCTCCCAGCTTCTTGTGCACCTGGCAGAGCATGGGAAGCTGAAAAGTCCTTGACTATGTAAGCACTACTTAGCAACAACTAAAACATCAGTGTGTTATCAACACTCTTCTCATACTAAATCCAAAACACAGCACTGTACCAGCTACCAGGAAGAAAATTAACTCTATCCCAGCCAAAACCAGGACACTCACTCAAATCAGGTAGGCGAATACAGGTGCCTTCAAAATAACATAGTAATCTTTGATAGATTCAGCAAGGCTCTCTTGAGGCTTTGGTTGCTTACACCCAAAGAGGCAAAATACGATCTGTGCTACATGATGCCCGTTACTGGAGATTTTGAGTCTGGGCAGGAGGAGTATTAGTCTATTCAGAAGATCAATAGTTGTGCATATATATAGTGAGGTTTAGAGCAAACAGGACAAATAGTGCAAAGCAGACTGTATATGGAAATGTAAAACTAGGTTATACCTTCCTTCAAGGATTCATGGTACTGAGGAATAGTGGCTTATCTGGGTAAATCAATTGGTACTTTCTTCTTATTTTGATCCATTCCACTTCTACTTCTGATCTTGTTTTATTCATATAAACAGTGTCTGTGCTGGCAGTAGAGGAGTATGAAGAGCTTCATGTAAACTTTGAACTGGAAAAGAACCTGCGGAAGAAAGCAGAGTCGTTTGCACAAGAGGTGAGTAATCTAGAAAAAGGGATCTTGTAAAATGAAGACATTGCAACTGGGCAAAAAACTACCAGCTTAGATGACTTGATTTCAATTTCCAGCTCATGTACAAAAGATGTCTTTGAATCTCCACATACTACTTAGCTAACATCTGTGCTTTATCCATAAAATGGGTTTACTATTTCAACAGCATTTATAAAGCACTTCAGAATTATCCATGCACTCTAGGGGGGCTTTAAATTTATAATGGGCTTAGTCAGCCACAACATTTCAATGTGGTATATGTAGTGGTTGGATCTGGGAAGGATTAGTGATAGTAGTGATACAATTTGAAACACTGTGTTTTTCCTGAAAAATATGTGAATTCACAAAAAAAGCATTGTAAAATACAATCTTAGTTGAGGTTTGTGCAAGTTTGGCTGCTATTTAACATACGCCTTTTGAATAATGTACTGCAGGGAGCAGTCAAGCTGAAAAAAATTGTTTCCATTTTCTAGAAAAGGTATAAACGCCCAAAGAGGAAAATGAGGTAGCATTATGGAGTGGCTGGTGGTTGCTCTGATGGCTTGTGACTGGCAATGTTTGCCTTGGAAAATGCTGACAAACTCTTTCATTCTGTTGGTAGACCAAAGCCCTATAAAATAATGAGTTTATTTTTGTTTTGTTTTTTCTCTGATGTGCTTTTTCCGTTTGCACTCTGGATTTTGAGAAATCTGCACTTGGGTTATATTTTTAAACTTTTCTATCCCAAGCCATGCCTCAATATTTTCTTTAATAAAAGTTGGGCTTCCTAGGTAATCATTTTTCAGGGAGGTCAGCTTTAAAGAAAACCATTATATATCAAAATTACATGAGTCATCAGTATTGAAATATTGTAAATAAGGGAAACATCTGATATGAAGTGGATTTTAAGATTTTGAAACCATGGCTGCCAGCATGCAGATATTTAGCGTTCAGGAAGTTAGCTTTGTCTGAATAAGAGAGCTCTTTTGCTTTTTGTCTTTGCTGCTGCTGTTTCTCTCTCTCTCTCTCTCTCAAAAAAAGTAGTTCGTAACTCTCGTGCATCTAACTGCATTGTCAGTGATTGTAAGCAAAGACATATATACATTTTGAGCCTGTATAGAAAACAGTGAATACGCTTACTGTGTTCTGTTAATCTTGTGGGGTTTTGCTGGTATTTGAGTGTTTTGGATATGAACAGAATCATATAGCAACATTTTAAATGAAACAGTTTTTTGGGAGGTTGAGATAAACTGTAAACAAATTTGAAAATCTGGAAGCTAGGGGTGAGGAAGTAGACCCAGATGTTGCTTGCACTCATTCTCTCGTGCCTGAGAGCTCGCTCTCTCGGTGCCATGTACAAAGGTTGGAGAACTTCAGGGCACCTGGGCCAAGGACACTGGTTCTCTTTCTCCTCATTCCACCTTACTGTTCTTTCCTTTGCAAGGTCACCCTGTTGACCCTTTGGGAAACCTATTGAAGCAGCTAACTTGGCAGAAACCTAATAACTTCTAGGTCAGATCAATTTCTCTTTCTGTTAATAGGAAAATTTGCATTTAGGTAACAGGGTTGGGTGCTCACCCTAAAGGAGAAAGGTATTTGCAAATTCAAGTGTATTAAGCTTTGACAGATTCTCTTTCATTCGTACAGGTATATGGTGTAACCTGGCTTTAGATAAACTACTGCTTATCAGTTCCACTACTGAAGCTTTAATCATTCGATGAGTCAGCTTGTAATTGAAATAAATTTAAATTTAAATAGCTTGTATATATACACATATCTGCAGTCTCCTGCCTATTGTCGTCAGTATCTCTGCCACGTGTTGAAAATCTAACTGTACTTCAGGCAAAGCTAAAGCAGCTGACACATTTTCTCCCCAAATGAATAAGAAATGACAGAAATGAAAATAATTTACTAATTATTAAAATGTCCTGTTAACTTCCAAATTTTAAGTATAGAGATGGACTTTTCAGGATGCTATTAGAGTGAAGAGATGTGGGAGAGAAGTCACTCAAGAGGAGTGATTTCTGAAATCAAAGAGACTGCGCTGGCAGCCTCCTCCAAACCCCGCTTTTACAGAGTTTTGTGGGATGGAGCCCAAATTCCTCTGCTGAGCAGAGGACACCTCCCTTTGCCATGGCTTCAGTGCCATTGGGCCATTTACATTTTGATCAAGGCTCACTGTGGTTTTTCAGAAATAAAAATGAGATCTGTGAATTCCATTCACATTTATTAAAGATGGAGACATTTATTAGTGACCTAAAGCTGTTAAATGAAATATTGCCTATGTTTATTAGGTATTCATTTCGATTTTTTCAAGACTGTTACCAGAATGTGCTATAAAATGTTACCTTCTTGCAACTATTTTTAAATTTGAGGATACCTGGATTTGTTCTTACCCATACTTTTATGATAGCTATATTTATAATGCACTATTTTTTTTTTTAAAGCTCCTGAGACAGTGCAGGCATTATTGTTTTATTCGCAGTGTTTGTTGACTGTAATATCTGCAGCGCTGTTTTTTTCAGAAAGCAAATTTCTAAGAATGTTAAGCATGTTCATTTAGCATGCATTATTAAAGTATCTACATTGCATCTCATACTGTTGCTTTGCCTTATCTTCTGAAGTACAGAACAATTATGTGCTTCTGTTCATTAACTGACAACAGAAGATTGTAAGTAAAGGTCTTACATCTTTCAGAAATGAGTAATTTATAAATGCGCAGTTAAGCTGGTTTTCAGATCATAAGAGAGTATAATCTGATACTCTGGGCCCAGAATGTTGCTTCTGTTTAGATTCATAACTGTAATATTCAGACAGCTATACATTTCGAAAGAGGATATTTAAAGTACTTTTTGTATTTGAATAACAAACTGACAGGCAAGCTGCTAAGTACAGTGCCAAAGAATTGCTAATTATTTGCAAACAAGTACTTCTTGCTTGTTTTTTGTCATTATATTATGCTGTTTCTTCTGAAAATATGGGCCCCTGTTGTTACAGATTGAGAACGTAGCTCTTTAGTTGAGGCTTTTCATTCCATGAAGTTCTCCAGTCCAAAATGGAGTCATTACAACAGTGAGCTTCAGGCCTGCATTAGTCTTTCCTTTGTGTACCTACTTCTCTTCCTTTCATACCATGCTATTCAGAAAGATTTTTGGAAGGTTTTTTAAAATACAGGAGCGTGTGACAACAAAGGCATTGCTCGTTTGTGTTTGGGGAACTAGTAGCATTTCAAATTACTTTTAAAATCTATTATCGTTGGTCTGGTTTCACACTGATGGTGTCCCTTGAGTGACCCGAGACATTAGAGACACAGGCTCTGGCCCACAACTTCATCCACAACAGCAAAGCTTTATGCTCGGGTGAGGTCGTAAGAGCATCCTCTGGCATGGATCATGCAAGGTTGCAGCTGTGTTTTGGGAGCTGAGGTTTCTAGGATGTGCTTACAGGAGCTGGTTGGATTACACTAAGGATGTGCAGGGATTTGCTGCTTTCTCTTTCTTTCATCAGCCACATGTTTTCTCTGTCCCTATAAAATATTTCTTGAAAAAACAAAAATCTTGCTGGATTTTTGCTTGAGTTTTGCAGAAGCCACAACGGTTGGTTGTGGTGATAAGCTGTGCAGTGTTGAGAGAAGGAATATGTTTGAGGAAAGGGCAACACCATATGTTCAGTGCTTTGTGCTTGACTTGTTTGGAGCACTTTGAGAAAGGAAATGGGCTCCGAGTAACATGGGTCTCACCGCAGCACTGCGTAGAATTTAAAATGGCACATCTTAGTGTTTCGTATTACTATTGGCGACATCTCAAACAGCCCAGATGTGTCTTTTAGTTCACTGAAATATGGGCTTATTGCCTGTGGAGGGGCTTGTTTGGTGGTGGGCTTGTTGTCTTTCTAAGGAGCTGAGGTATCTGAAGCTTGCCTTGACTGGGGCAGTTGGCCCATGTATTCAGATGAACCCCTTTCTCCATAGCATGGCTTCATCTTTTAGCTTTGCCCTGCTGGGGCTGCATTGCAGCTGCGGTGGGAGGAGACCAGATGAGCGACTGGTGCGGGCTGCTTTTCGAAGGGATGCCCTTTGCGTCCTGCCCTTCTGACAAGCAAGGAGGATTTGCCACAGAACGTGAGCAATTGGGAGTGCAGGTGTGAGAGATAATGGGTGGGTGAGCGTGTGTGCAGAAGCGAACAACAGATGGGGGGGGAGGAAAGACAAGGAGCGAGAGAGGGAGGGAGCAAGCGCATATAGGAGTGAGCGAACACTTGAAAATCAGAGCTTTTGATTAAAAAAAAAATTCAATACAGCTTTAATTATAGTCATGCTGCTGGCACCACCATAATATATATTTAATTAATCAAAAATGATCCAACTTCAAACATTAGAATTCATGCTCTTTAGAGGTTCTACAGAAACTGAGTAAATATTGTCAGCCATGGTGTGGAGAGGGGGAAGGAAGAAGAAAGAGGGTTTGAAGTGAGTCACAATCCATTGTGAAAGGTACAGGAATCTGCATAAAAGAACTAAATAAATAGAGTGTGTAAGGGGCGGGGGCATGGAAAAATCTGTGCCTACCTGAATAAAACAGGGTTGTTAACACAGGAATCTTGGCAAGCTTAACCAGAATTCTAGTGTCATGTTTTAAGAGACACTAAGATCTCTCAGCTCTTTGTGGAGCAGTTTATAAGAAAACAAAGGAAGACAGAAAGCATCTTGAAGGCCATCGCAATAATATAGAGGCTAGCCCTGAAAAGCACTCTTCCACAAAGATGAGTAAAACACAACACATACAGCCAAAGCAAGCCAAAAGGGGAGGAACACAGTGAGAGATGTAAATTGAAAGTCTTAGTGATGTAAAAATCCCAGGAGTTTAACAAAATAATCTGGCATAAATGGTTTATTAAGCATACATCCTGCCTTGCAACAATATTTTGTAAAGTGAACAGTTTATTACTGTCGTGTGTGCTGGCATGGAGACAACCCTTGCACCTAAAGTTACTCCGGAAACCTCCCA